CGTAGAATTACTGTTTGTTTGTTTTTTTTTTTTTGTTTTGGTTTTTCCCCGGTACCGGGAACCGAACTCACGACCTTGCGCTTGCCAGGCAGGCGCTTTGCCGCTGAGCTAAATCCCCAGCCCTAGAAATACTTATATCTTATAATTTTGGCTACAAAACATATTTCATTGATACAAAATAAGTAATGAAAACAACATATTGATCTTTTTTGCTTTATGATCTAATGTAAAAATATTAGCAAATACATTATAATGTCCTTTGTGAACCAGAAAAGAGAGAGGGAGAAGATGGGAGGGTCAGGAAGGAAGTCCAGCATTATATAGTAAGTAAGCATCTGATGAAATGTTCTTGGAAATGAACCATTGTAACGTTTATCCTTGTCCGAAAACCACGACAATTTGCAATATCAGCATATGTTCCTAGCCACTAGTACTTTCACAAATTCCTCAAAATTTTAAATGGTCCAGAACCTCAGAAGAAAATATACGTAATCTCTAGGCTGGAAAAAAAGCTGTAAAAGATACTGTTTAATTTGGGGTATATAAATTAATTTATACACTAGATTTTCTCCAAAGTATTTCAGCAGAAGGAAGCATTGTAATCAGCCCCCATTGAGGGATTGAATTAGAAATTTCTTGTCTTCATGGTAGATGTCTTTAAAGAAATAGAATTTGTTATCTTCAGTTATCCAATCCAAAAATGACAGTGGCACATGCCTGTTTATATTAAAACATGATAACTAACGACAGTATAAGCATACCTATGATGGCCATATAATTAGTAGTTTACGCTATAATTATCTCCACAACGTTGAGGATATATGGTTACCTCATCTATGTATGTCCTCTCCAAAAAAAATTCCATCCTCAGATGTTACTAATAAAAGTTAAATGAAAAATCTAGAAACTGGCACACTGTGGAGGCGAGCAGTATCCCTTCACATCTGTCTCCTGAGAGCCCAGCAGGCACTGTTCCTGAGCCAGCATTCAGGGTGGTCAACCAGCAAAGCAAAGACAAAGCCTTGGCTCCCGGAGTGTGCCTCCCAGCCCAGAGAGAAGATCAATACACAGTCCTCACAATGAATGGGTAAATGTTTGATGTTTTAAACAGTGGTAAGTGTCACAGAACAAAATAACCAGTAAGCGCCACGGGGCTTTAGAAGTGGTAACAGAAAGTCACAGGACTTGTGATTGAGCAGTAGCCTGATTTGGGGGATGCCTATCCTGTTGTGACAGTGAGCAAACACATAAAGCAGCCCTGTGCAAGCCCCCCACCCTGATTCTCTCACCTCCACACCTGTGCTAGCTGTACTTGCTCAGCCCCACCTGCCCTGCTGAACTCTGTCTGCAAAGCTCTTGGCTCCTGCTTCCTGTCACAGGGCCTTTGCACGGTCTATGCTTCAACCTGGGAATTTCTTCCCCACACAGGGAAGAGAGGGAGGTAGACACAAAAGAACCAAGGATGAGGCAGAACATACACAGTGCCTAGAGGTCAGTAATCAGTAACCTAACTACTATAATAGAAGAGGGACAGGACAGTTGTTTCTGATTGGTGGTCAGAAAAGGTCTTGGGAAGGAATTATCTTCCAAATTAAATTTACCCCTCTAACCTGTATCTTTTGTTTGCATATATCATTTTTACCCCCTACCACATTCTGTACTCTTTGAGGCAAAGAACATGATTTTGGGGATCAGGCTGCCCTGGTTTTGAATTCTAACCCCACCACTTATATAACGTGCCCATTGTGACCTGGGTTTCTCTGAGCCTCCGTTTCCTTCTCTCCATGAAGATGACAACTCTTCTGGGAAGCTTGTTGTAAGTAAATAGCACACAGGGTCTGGCAAGTGAGGCAAAAGGAAACCAGTATTTAAAGAGAAATGGGTCAAATAAGGCATTTTTTAAACTGTGCAAAGATACATTATTGTATGTATAATGGGGAGCTATTGAAAGTTTGCACCAAGAAGTAGCATAGTTATGATGGTTTTAGAAAGTTAAAATTGCAGGAAGGGAAGAGTGAGCTTTCAGAATTGACTGAGACCTACTGGAATGATGTGGTGTTGATAGGGATGTGATAAATGCAGTTCAGCCTGGTAGTGAATATATTTTCCACCCTTTATGTCTTGACATTTAGTCAAATCCCAAACTACAGGCAGAAAAAAATAGTAAATGAGTTTTTTCTTAATGTTTTGACCAAATGCTGTAGTTTGATAGAGGCCAGCTTTGGGCTCACTGCTTGAGGGATTCAGGAAAACCAAATGCTAGTGCTGCAGGGATGAGGAGGAGGAGGGGCCCACTGACAGGCAGGAGCCGAACCGGCTGGGAAAGTAGCTTAAGTGAACTTTTATTTTATGGCCTCTGGGCATCACTTTAACCAGCATTTCTCAGCCGATGACACTGAAAAATACTAATTCTGCTGAGGCTGGAGCTTGTAGATAACCAGGATGAATAAGGAAATTGTGGTTTCCTGTGTGTAGCTACACAGTCAGGCTGACTTTCTTGCACAGCAAAAGGCAGAGTTTGGAAAGGGTGTTGAAGGACAAAGCAGCACAGACCCATCATTGATAATAAAAAGCTTCAGGAGCACCATGGTGCAGGGTCTGGAATGCTAGCATTCTGGGAGGCTGAGGCAGGAGGATTGCAAGTTTGAGCTCAGAACCACCAGAAAAGAAAAAGAAAGAAGAAGGGAGGGGGGATGAAGGGGAAGAAAAAGGAGAGGGAAGGACAGAGGGAGGAAAAAGGAAGGGAAGGGAAAGAGAAATCTTAGCATTGGCCTTTCAATTTCACATTGTTTTTTAGGAGGTAATGCATTCATATAGTTTAAAATTCAAGAAGTACAGATGAATATAGAATGAAAAATCTTCCACCTATCCTATTACCCAAGCATCCAGTTCCCCTTCTCTGATAGTAGTTTGTTATTCTTGCAGAAATATTTTCTGTATATACAAGCAAAGTTACCTACTTTCTCCTTCTAATGCAAGTAAATATACTGTTTTGTATCTGGAAGAGATGATGATGGTGATGGGGTTTCTGTTTTGTTATGGTTCTTAATTAAAAATATATTTTGGTGGTTATTCCATATCAACTCATAAAGAGTTACCTCATTATCCTGTTGCATGGAAGTCCCGTAATTTTTTTCTTTTTCTTTTTTTTTTTTTTTTAAGACAGAGACTCACTACATAGTGCAGGCTGGCCTTGAACTCACTGTGTATCCCAGGCTGGCCTCAAACTCATGGCAATCCTCCTGCCTCAGCCTCCCAAGTGCTAGGATTACAGGCATGGGCCACCACGCCTGGCTAATTTTTGTTATTTCAGTCATCTAATAACCTTGTGCATCTCTCCATTAGCACATTTCCCTGATATTAGTACCTAGAGTGAGATTGCTGAGTCCATGTCTCTGACCTTGTATTTATTATATTTCTGAGTTGTTTTATACAGAGGCTGTACTAATTTGCATTCACATAAGCAGAATATCAAAGCAGTATCTTTGACTTGAGAGCAAAACCATGTATTAGTAAGTTATGTGCAACTGCCACAGGTTCTGTTACATCCATTCACAGGTTTTCATACTGAAGATGTTTCTTCCCATCAAAGGTGGGTACGCGCACCTCCTGACTCAGTGGTTCCCAGTAAGGAACACGTTTGGCCTCAGGAGACATTTGACAATGTCTGGCAACATTTTTCATTCCCACAACCAGAGGCAAAGTTGCTACTGGCATCCAGTGACCAGAGGCTAAAGATGCCACTCAGCAACCTAAAATGCAAAGGATGCTGCCTGCTCCTCCTCCTCCTCCTCCTCCTCTCCACAAAGAAGTATCTTGTCCAAAATGTTCATAGTGCCGAGGTGAGAACCACTGTCCTAGACGAATGTCTACTTTCCCTTGACCGTGTTAGGTATGTCTGACAAAACTTGGGATTCTGTGCTCTAACCTTTGTGTTGGATAAAATGAAGAATGCACTTCTGTAGTACACTTAGGGGTGGTTGTCTTTTTTCTCCACACTTCTATTTGTTTTCAGAAGCAGTGAGCCCCTCGGAAACATGAGTGTACCTATTTGAATATCTGACTTCAAGAAGGCACTGAGCTTATTAAATGAATGAATGGATGCTAACCGGATTTCATAATTGTGTGATTTAAAAGCATTATTTTATTTTTAATTAAAGTGTTCTTTTTTACCATTGCTTGTTTTGCCTTTCTTTTAACTTCAAATGTCCATTTTTCTTTGGCCCTACACAGGCAACTTTTTTCTAACCCATAGAATAGGTCGGGAAATAGAATAGTCAGGAAATGTCAGTTGAGTTAAACATGTTGCCTTTTTCCCTGATCTGAACATCTTATCAAGTGTAGTTTATTCCTACAGCATTAAGGCACTCAATTATATTCTGTCTTTCTCACTTAGAGTTTCCAACTGAATCTAACTTGTCTCCTTAGACTGAAACCTTCTGGGCAAAACACAAAACTATCACAAAGGTGAGGTGCTTGATGTAGGCTTTTATGGATTATAAAGCAAGAAAGTGCAAGTCTCTTCAATTTTCTCTTTTTTAAACCCAAAGATCCTGACCCTGGCAAAGCAACCTGTTCATTCTCACAGGCAGAGCAGCTCACATCTGCTCCCACAGTAAAAGCAGCAGGGCATCAGGGCGGCAGAACCCAGGAGCAGCCCAGGATATGTGCTTCACCCCTTTTCCTGTTCTCTGATTTCTGTGTTCTTTAGGAGCCAAAGAACCCCCCAGAAAACCCACTTTTCACATCTGCTCCCATTACTGCAGACATTGTGTACTACACTTTCCCATCTGTCTTTCAGTGTGATTAAAGAGCCAAGCACGGGACCCAGAGCAGACTCTCACTGGGGCTCCAAGTGAGCTAGAGACAGAGATCATCCATCAGCTTTCAGCCCATCTCGGAAAGCAGGTCTCCACCTTGGCGCTCACCTCTGCACTTGGAAGATGCCTCCACTGGAGGGAAAGCAGGAGGAAGCAGAGAGACTTGCTTTTAATAAGAGCCTGGAGACTTGGAATGGAACAACAACCAGGGGGAAGACAGTAGGATCAGCAAGGTTAGGGAGGAGCAATCAAGAACAAGAACATTTGTTTGTGAGGCTGAATGGTACATTACTGGTGCTAAATATATCTTGCAGAAAATTGGGATGCAGAACAGCTTTGATCGTATCTAACACAAGATTTTAAAATGCAAATGCAAAAAATGCAAGTACAGAACTGCTTAGTTTACTTTTAGTAGCTTGTTATTTAACCACCATGGAGCCCCGAGCTCCTGTTGCATGCTCTGCAATTAAAATAAACTTGCAATTGAAGCCCTTCAAAGCTGAATTTGAATAAAAGAGGAAAACATTCACATTTGAATATCTGTCAGGCACACCAAGTAGATAATGAGCCAGCTTCATTAGAGAAGGTAAATTTAAAAACCTAAATATTTTACCTATCTCTTCTGGATAAGGGTTTAAAGTTTTTAAAAAGTTACTCTTGAAATTTTGAACACCAATTTTACATTTAATCATTAATTATTTCCATAGGTAGGAAAACTGAAGGGGCTTAATTTCTCAAGGTTACTAAAATCTTTGATTTTGTTGGAAAAGACCCCAGACATCTGCTCCGATCTAAAAAGAACAGAGCTCCTCGTTGCTAATTTTCATGTTAGCTAAATGTTACTTCTTCAAGTGATAGTCTTTAAGCGGTGGCTTGTGAGACCTATAGTAACTTATCAAAATGTTGCACCATTTAAGGTAGGCTATATAAAATATAGGGCTGTCTTCATAGGTAAGTTATGCAAAAGAATAATTTTTTAAAATAGTAATAGCTCGTGGTTGCTTATCTCTTGCATTCTGAGCCCCAAGCTGAGTGTTTAACTCAGTTTCATATAAGCTCTATCATAACTCTTTGAGGCAGGTAAATTCCATTTTATGACACTGTTTGATGCCTTAGAAAAGAGGTTAATAAGGTAGAGCCTGGGAAAGGTTTCCAGTGACAGGAGTCAGAAGAGACCACCCCACAATGTGGTTCCCTGGCTGTGGGCTGAAGGAATTTGAGAAGCAGGAAGGACTGTCTGACTTCCTGCTTCTCCCATGAAGCAAGGCCTCAGATCTCCTGTGAGAGAGCCCCTCCATACACCAGGAGGAAGGAGCCTCCTTGTCTCTGGAGACTAGAGGACTCCAGGTGGAACAGCCCTTGCCCAGTTCCCCATTTCCTTCTTTGAGGTCACATTTTCCTGTGACCTTCCACTCTTCAGCAATCCTAGTGTGAAAACACTCAGATTTAGCCTTTTCTGCAAGTCTCCCTTTTTTGGTGAAGTCTCGTGTCACATAAAATTTCCGAGATAAATGTTGATGCTTTTCTGCTGATAATCTCTTTTGCTGGTCCAAGATCTGTCAGGGAATCCAGATAGATTTCCCCAGCCCAAGAATCTAGAAAGGAAGTAGGCAAAGAAACATTTTCCTCCTTCTGCAAGACATAAAAGCCTTAAAATACCTGTGCACAGAGATGTGCACACACAAATGTATCTCTAGATAGAGGGTCACAGCTTCTCAGAAGTCTGTGGCCCTGAAAATATCTAAATTGGATTAGTCATTGTGAAGTGCAAACATTTGCGAATTGGTTAATTTACCTCTTGAATTGGTAATGTGGTGTAAAGCTGCTTTTTCTCAACAACCCTCAGCAGGTTTTTCTGCTGCTCCCGTTGCCTGATGATGCTTCTTGCCCAAGTCACTGCGCTGGCTCCACTTTAAATATCTCTCACGGACTTAGGAGCCAGGTGGTCTGGGTTTAAATCCACTGCGTATCGCTTACTGTGTGACCGTGCCTTGAACTCCAGATCTGTAAATGGGAGCGCTGCAGGAGTTGAGGATTAAATGACATCCACAAGGAATACAGGAATCAACCAATAAATGCTTGCCATGCTGAATGAACCTATTCTGCTGTTAGGACTTTAGAATACACTGCGCAAGGTGTGTTTGATGGGAGAGGAAGAATATTTGGGGTCTTCATGCTTCAGCCTGCGTGTGCGTGTGTGTTTGCATGCGTGTGCATGTGTGGATGTCACCAGGCTCAAACCTAGGCGTGCCTTACTGCTGAACTACATCTCTAGCTCTTTTTAGTTTTTATTTTGTAAACATAATCTAGCTAAATTGCCCAAGCTGGCCTTGAACTCACAATCCTCCTGCCTCAGCCTTCCAGAGTGCAGGGATTATAGGCATGAGCCACAATGCCCTGTTCTTAAAGAACTTTTCTTAACCTCCTAGCTATTGTGTCAGTCCAGGTAACCATAGAATTTTGGTTTTGTCCGGTCCAGGGGACGGTGGAATTCAGTAAGAGGCCATGCCATGCTGGCATTTTTCTAGAAAGGGTTGAATGGAAGAATAAGACAGGAAGAAATGATGCAGCTTGTTTCTTATGAGCCTTTTCTTTCATTTTATATGCACATGTACAGGATATTGTTAGCAGCACTAAGGAAATTAGTCTTATTTTCTCTTCAGTCCTTTGAATTTGCCTTAGCCACAGTGTGAAGGAAGGAAGCCATCTTTCAGATCGTGGCTTTGGCAAATCCATTTCAGAAGCTGTTAGGAGTCTCTTAAAGGAAGAAGGAACTGCTCTTCCCAGCCTGTGGTGTTGCTTGGGATGGAATCACCTCTCCTGTCAGGCCTGATTGAACAGGGAGTAGGATGACTTGAGCCTTCTCTTGAAGATTAGCCGTCTCTCACCTCTTCCTTCTCTCTCCATCTTCTTCATCAATCATCTAAACACTAAAATCTGCCTTCGGATCCCCGGAGAAAGAGGTGTTTGCTGAGGTCCCTGGAATCAGGAAAGAGATGCGATGCCACCCTGGACCCGCATGTAGCAATGCAGCCCACAGTACATATTATCAGCATGCCCCGCGGTACATCAGCATCCTGCTGGTCTGGGGCCACCAAGCTGCTCTGTCCGCTCTGCCTGATGCTGTGCCCACCAGAGCAGCTTTGGAGGAGTCACAGAGGGCTGAGATTCCCTGCTGCCTGTTTCATTACGTGTCAGTGTCTGTCACGAAAATAGGCAGCATAGCGTAGTGGTGGAACCCAGTATTTTCAGAATGGGCGCTAGCAGTGTGCGCTGTCAACAGGCCAGGCTTTGCATAGGTGACCCGTTAGGAATGACACTACATACAGTCAGTGTTTGTGCCACCCGTTCTCCTCTGAGATGTGACTCAAAAAGAGGCTTTCTCTCCTCTGGAAATACACGCTTTCCCCCCTCCCTGCCTCCCTCCCTCCCTCTCTCTTTCTTTCCATCTTCTTTCTATAGTCACAGGTAATGAAAGCATGTACATTTGGTGTAATTCCCATTATACGGACAGACACAGCTCACTTGGAGATACTTGTAGCTTCTGGGTGGTGGATACCCAAGTCAGAGAGCATTCGTAAAGCTACAGAGTCTTACAAGAGAATCTTTATTTGCTGCACAGGTGACAGAGAATCTCTCCTTGGCCATGTGTCAGCCAGGCTCCTCTGAGCCCTCTTCTCACACCTTGGCCTTAACTTTGAGCTTCATGCTATCCTTGGAGCCCCATTGCATCAGTTTCGAAAGAATCCCCCGTCCTTGACTTCTGATGGCCTGGTCTCCCTTTAGCAAGAATCTTCATGCGGTTCAGCAAGACGCTCCCTACCTTTAATTTCTCCTCCTCAGTAACTGTCCATCCACTGATGTCCTCCCCCCACTCTGTGGCTGTAAATTCTTCTTGTTGTATTTGGATTTGAGCCCATTCTGTCCCCCAGTTGACACTTACCATTATAGTCCTGAATACAGTGTTTGTTACCATTTGAATTAGTGTCAAGATCATTTTTAACACAGATTAAAGCTTCGCTATTGAGATTTTTAAAAGAACTTAATACTTTATATAGTGCTTAGCATATGCCACAATGTTCTTTGTTCTAAATGCTAAACCTATTCCTCATGATAACACAATGAGGCAGTACTGTGGTTATTATCTTTAATTTATAGGTGAAGCAGGGGCCCTGGAGGTTACTTGCCTGGGCATGTAGAGGTAGAGCTGGGAAATGGAGCCAATATTCCAACCCAAGGCAGCCCTAGAATCAATGACCTTGAGCACAAGGTCAAGCTGCCCTTACAAGCAGGCTGGGTTGTCTACTCTGTCAACACTTTTAAAGCAAGATCTTCAGATTCAGCTGCACACAGGATCCTCCTAATGGTGCTGAGTCAAGCAGGGCCCAGGGGCTCAGGCCACAGGGAGAGTGTGTTCCTGTCAAATGTGCCTGGTCATTGCCGTCTAGCAAATGCAAATCTTCTGATCCAAAATAGCAGGAAGGGAGAAATTGGGATTTTATATATTTTGAAGGATCTCTTCAATTCAAAAGAGAAAGAAAGGAAAGATGAAAGGAAGCAGAGGAGAGGATAGGGAAGGGAAAAGGAAACCGTGCAGGACGCACACGCACACTCACACACACCCTCTGCAGCAAGGGTTTATTCAGTCTGGGGGATGCCATTTACAACCTCGTTTTTGTTTGATTTTTATCGGTACAGTTTTGTAGTACATGATGATTACATTTGTCTTGGGGAGTTGGTACATGTGCCTAACACATCTTAATTCTTTTTTGTCCCCTACCTGTCCCATCCCTCCCTGCTCCTTCCAACTCTTGGTCTCCTTCCCATTTGCAAAAGCTCTACTCCCATTTATTTTCTTTAATTTTTTTTCAACCTCCTTTCCCTCCCCTCCTTCTCTCTCCCTCCATCTCTCATTCCCCTTCTCATTTGAAAAAGATCCTATTTCTATTACTTCCTATTATCTACCTTTTATTTTGCTTTTTATTCATATTTGAAGTCTCTCATATAAGAGAAACCCTGTGATATTATTTGTATGCCTGATTTATTTCATTTAATATCATGGTCTCAAGGTGCAGCCTCATTTTTCAAAGTTATTAAATCTTACCACAAAGAGCTCTCTTGGATAATAAAGATGTACACACATAACCAAGTAATTGCACTTACAAAATCTTCTGTTCCACTCGTGGGGTTCCAGTATTTGGTAGATCGGGGGATGGGGGAGTCATTTCAGAGTTTGGAGAAGTCTCTCCTGGACTCATGGAGATGCTGTGATAATTCCATTAGCAGCTGTGTTTGAGACCCATGCTGACTTTTTACCTACTAGTAAGAGATTTCAAGTTAACAGGTGTTAGTCAAGCAATCTGGACCTCTCTTCTTGCTTCTTGAATTGATGGATAATTCAACTTCTATTAACAAATGAAATTAAACACCCTTTCAAAGTTAAACTGACATACTCAGCTATGAGTGGGAAAGGTAAATAAACACAGTGAATGAGTTCTGAGAATTTATGAAGTCCTCATGATCAAAATCTTTTAACTTTTGGTTGCTGAACTTTCAGCTGCTCATATTTTGCAGTCCTGTTTGGCAAACTCGATTTCTTGGCTCCAGCTATGGAACACAAGGACAGGTTGCCCTCCTGGCTGGAGGGGACCTGCCAGCTTTTCATAGCAGGTGTCCAGTCTTGGTTTTAACCATCTGAACCTGGATGACAGACACACACAGTTTAATAAATAAGATACCCCATTTTCTTCTGAAAACACTTTTTAATTGTGTTTTCGTTAATATTTCATGTCATGTGTTAAAATTTCCTATTTAGAATTTGGCAAGGCCCTAAGAATGGTTATTTCAGAGGAAAATAGGCTCAATTAACAACTTTTTATACATAAGACCCTGCACTATAGCCTATGGAGTAAACCAAAAAGAATCAGTAAGGTTCTCCTCTTCCCTTCTAGGTCTTGTAGCATTTGTGGGTATATGGGGCATTTATGCAAGTAATAGTGGTACTAAACAGTCATGAAAATCACAACACAAAGGATAAAGACAACCAACTTGTAGGAGTTGTTTGTTTTCTGGTTTTGTTTTTGTTTGAGTCAGGGTCTCACTGTGCAGTTCAGGGCTGGCCTTGAATTCACAATGCAGCCCAGGCTGGCCTCAAACTCACAGTGATTCTCTGCCTCAGCCTCCCAAGTGCTGGGATTACAAACCTGTGCCACCACGCCCAGCAAGGAGCTTTTAAAAATAATAATAATAATAATAATAATAATAAATTATAATAGACTGCATGTAACTTGAAGGCTTTAGAGGCCTTCAAAAAGAAAATTTGGTTCAAGTGGAGCCTTGAAGACTGCTGGTGTTTGGAGGAATGAGAAGGGGAGACAGTGGGTGGAAAGTTATGGTAAACTTTGATGTGGGAGAGGGAGCAGAAAACAGAAAGATTGTCATTTGGAGCACAGCAAGTGACTGCAAGGGAAAATTCAAGTAAGGGAAAATTCAAGTGAGGAAAAACGCAATCAAAACCTGGAGACAAGATTTGAATGAGCAGAAAGCAGTCAAGATCAGGGATGGGAAAATATTCAGCCTATTAACAACAATACAGAGCCAGATATACTGGTTTGTGGGAGAAAGTAACTTTCACCTTTAGATACCAAGTCGTAGTAAATCAGCCAAATAACACTAAAAAAAAAATGTATTTTCGAAATCTGCGCCCACCCAGACTGACTTTGCTTTATTTTGACATTTTGTAGCCTGAGCTGAGATTGCGCTGTTTGATATTATCCATCACTTGCAAAGAACTAGTGTCCTTGAATGCTGGAGGCAGAAAAGTCCTCAGGAATCATATAAACCATTGTGCCAATGAGTTAATTTGAGGTCCAGAAAAATTAAATGATTAGCCTAAAGTAACATAGCCTATTAAGGATAGAGTTAATGTTTAAATACACTCATCTATTATTTTACCCATATACCTTAAGTATAAATCCAAGGTCATATTGAACAGATTTGTAAAACTTTACCCCACTTTTTGGTACTTCCATCTCCCCTCGCTATCTCCAACTCATCACTCTCATTTAATAATTAATACATCACATTCTTAATGTTTTTAGAATTTATATAATCATATACACACCCATATGTTTTATGTTTATGTGCTTATGAACATAGCACGTGGAGTGTTTTAGTTCAGTGTTTTACAAAAATGAAAATGTATAGTCTTTTTTACACTTTAATTTTTTCACCATATCTTGGAGAAATCCTCCCAGTGAAAAGTCAGAGTCTAACTAGTTATTTATTGTAATAGTTGCTTACTATGTGATAGTAGGGATATGTCACGATATACCCTAGCATTCCCTGTGTCCATGAAGATTGATTTGCTTCATTTTGCTTCTACAAGTACTACTTGAACAAACATACTTATCCCCACATCTATATATATTGGCATTTTATTTCTGTTGGTAAGAGTTGGTGTTCCTAGGTCAAGGAAATGTGTTTTTTGTTTTTTTTTTTTTTCTCCGGTACCGGGAACCAAACTCACGACCTTGCGCTTGCCAGGCAGGTGCTTTGCCGCTGAGCTAAATCCCCAGCCCCAAGGAAATGTGTATTAATTCTAAAAACTAAACCCCTAAAGCTGTAGCAATACAGGTGCGTGCCTACAATAATAAAAATTTAATAAAAATTCTTTTACTAGGTCTTCTTAGGCCATAATGTTGTCTTTTTTATAGTTTTTGCAAGTGCAGTTGGTGTAAAGAAAAACCTCATTGTTAATTTGTACTTATTTGGTATAGATGAATCTGATCTTCTTTACATAAGCTTGCTGATGATTTGAATTTCTCAGTGTATAAGCTATGCTTTCATGTTCTTCATGGTCTTTTTCCAGTAGAAAGGTTTCCCTTTAATTTTTAAGAGTTATCCCCATGTTATAGCAATTTTCCTGTCCTCTAAGACATCAAACATTTTTTCACAAATCTATTCTATTTTTATTGTATCTTTTGTCCTGCAAAAGTTTTGAACTTCAGTCAAATTTTCTAATATAATTTGTGCCTCATCAAAAAAAGTCAGCCACCCCTCCCCCTAGATTATCCTGCTAGTTTCTAGATTTTCTTACAGGGTTTTAGTTTTAATTATTTTACATTTTGACCTTTGTCCCATCTAAGATCTACTCTTGGAACTGGTATGAGATAAAGCTCCGATTTGTTTTTCTCTGCCAGATGAGCAGTTTACTACCCCCTTATATTAAATGACCCACCCTTTGCCACTAAAGTGTCAAATATTAAATCCCTCTTTATTTTGGGACTATTTCTTAATATTCTGTTTCAGACACTCTATCTGTTCAGGCCTACTTTAGTACTTACTGACTTAATTACAATACTCTTACCAGATTTTCTGATTTCTGGTAAATCAGATTACACAAATGACTTTTGAGGTAATTATCAAATGTAGATATTTACACTAAGATCTATTTCTAGACAGCAGTAGGATGCAAGCAGAAATTAATGTGTCAAAATAATGGTTGTATAATTAAAATATTTTTTCAAAATCTTTCTTCCCACAGTTTATTTTCTGTCAACAGATTAGAAATAAAAGGTTTAATGTGTTTATGTGATCTTATAAAAATGGCAAATTGATACACTTTTAGTTCAGTGATGTATCTTACTAATCGCACTGTTTTTCTGATCCCCAGGCTGGTTCTTCAGAGGAATCATCCCTGACTATCGTCTTTACCCTGAGCTCTGACCACTTCCCAGGAGAAACACTACTCAAGGGAGAACGCTGGCGAGTCCTTAGAGAGAAATTCCATGGGGACTGTACCTGACCCTCTGAGATCCACAAAAGCTTCCCTGACTGCAGCTGTGGGAAAAGAAGAGCCTGGAGATCTGCAGGCCGCCTCAGCACAGCACCAGCCGGAGCACCTGGGTAAGGGTACCAATGGCCTTGCGTGCTCCCCTGCAGAACCCGGCCTGTGCCCCAGACCAGCTGCTGAGGCTATGATGCAGGCTTGTGAGCATGAGACCTTCCAACCAGACATGTCTTCTCCTGGTGTCTTTAATGAGGTGGAGAAGTCATCACCCACACACAACTCTCCCGGTGATTCCCAGTTGTCAGGGAGCACTGAGCCCACAGCACCAGCCCCGAGTCCTGTAGGCAGCAAGGATCTTATACACACATCACTGACAATGCCAGCCCACCAGCACACTCACCAGGCCACCCCAGGTGATCAACCCGGTGTCAGCACCTCACAGGCACCTGAAGATTCCTTGGTGACGTCACAGAGAACCTCAAATGGAGAGCAACCCGAGAGGTCAAGCTGTCCTGCACTGGGCACCTGTGGCAGCAGCAAAGGAGTGCTCTGTGATGTTCCTTCTGAAGAAACCATCCAGGGAATGGCACAGACTCCAAATCCCGCAGCCGTGGTGTCTAGTCTTTCATCCTCTCCTGCAGATGGGCAAGAAGAGGAAAAGCAGCAGGCCTTCTGTGACTCCATGGCTAGGTCCTGTGCACCTCCAGCAAGAGAAGACGGATGTTCAGAAAACACGCAGCCCCCTGCCACTGCCCTGTCAGACAGCCAAGGTATAACATCTGTGACATCTCATCTACCCCACCTCACTAGCAGAGGTTCGATGTGTCCTCCAGATCCAGAGAAGGAGCTGTTGCCAGCACATGAGCTGTCCAAGTTCAAAGAAGCCAGCACAATGACCAGCCAGGTTGAAAGTGAGATCAAGGCAGGCCCCAGCAGGGTCCAGCAAGATGCCGAGGTGCAGGCAGTGGCAAGTGTGGAGAGCAGGTCTGTGTCTACCAGCCCCAGCATCCTCACTGCATTCTTAAAGGAAATCCCTGCCCCTGAGCTTTTGGAACAACAAGAGCAGCTACGTGTCATTTGCCATGGCAGTGGCAGTGGGAGCCGTGTGTTCGAGCTGTCTAACGGCATGCCAGCCCCCCAGGAGTCGGGTCAGTGCCCTGGCACTATGCCGCAGGTGCACATCCAGGAAGCCGCAGCTGTTTCTGCAGCTGTCCAAGGGGAACGGAAACCAGTGAACCTACCAGGGGAAGTCCTTAAAACTGCATCAATCAACACAGCCTGCAGTCATTTCCAGGATATGTGTAAAGAGGATGGGAAGTCAGCAGGAATGACCCTACCCAGGGAAGAATCAGCCTCCAGACAGCTCTCGGGTACTAATTCTAGCTCGCTGAGATCTAGCCCCACTGACCAGATTTCCAGCATTGCAGGCAGTGAAGCTGAAAGGAGCCATGGTTTGGGGAAATCTGAAGCCAAGCTCTCGGAGTTTGTAGTGAAAACAATAAATGACCACAAAATAGGCTCAAATTGCAAACAGTCTGACTCCTGCACCAGCAAGGATGACCAGTCCAGGAGTTTGGAGCCCACTAGTAAAGGAGGTGCAAAGGAGAGGAAGTCTGAGTCTCCTCGGGTAGTAAAAGAACAAGAATCTGTTGGCACCAGTGCCCTGGATGCCACGACACTACTGCTCAATCCTAAATCCCAAGAAAACGGAGGCACGGGATCCACTCCCTCCCCACTGAAGAAGAACCAGGAGGGCTTCTCAGAAGACAACAGACAGACCAAGACAGCCACGAGCCTGAGCCTGCCATCCGATTCCATGGGGGACTCGAGCCCGGGTTCTGGCAAGAGGACCCCTTCTCGCTCGGTCAAAGCCAGCCCACGCCGGGCCAGCCGGGTCAGTGAGTTCCTCAAGGAGCAAAAGCTGAATGTGACAGCAGCTGCTGCTCAGGTGGGGCTCACACCAGGAGAGAAGAAAAAGCAGCTGGGCACAGATTCCAAGCTGAAACAGTCCAAGCGTGTCAGGGACGTCGTGTGGGATGAGCAGGGCATGACCTGGGAAGTGTATGGTGCCTCGCTGGACCCAGAGTCCCTGGGAATCGCCATCCAGAACCATTTACAAAGACAAATTAGGGAACAGGAGAAATTAATCAAAACACAAAGCGGTCAGGGCCGGAGATCCATTTCCTCAGATACTTCTTCAAATAAGAAGCTCAAAGGCAGGCAACAGAGTGTTTTCCAGTCCATGCTGCAGAACTTTCGACGCCCCAGCTGCTGTGTGCGTCCTGCCCCTTCCTCCGTGTTAGACTGAAAGGGAGTCCCAGGATGTACCTACGGTATTCGTGTGTGTCCATCTATGCCAAAGCTTACTTAGCTTTCTTCTGAGAGCACAGGAAGGAAAAGCAAGTGTTAACTACAATGACTTGCTTTAAAAAATTGTGTTCTTTGACTGAAGGTCCATAAATAAAAATTCCATTTCAATTTGAAAGAGCAAGAGAAGAAAATTGAAGGTTTGCAACCTTAATTAAGTGAAAATAATATTCAGTAGGTTTTTAAAAATATATGGTGTTGCTTTCAGAAATAACATATACATGTGTCATTTTGTATTACTGCCTCAATTTATCACATGATGGTATTTCCATTAAAACTTCTTGCTTTATATTAAAAAGAGGAAAAACACTATTAGCAAAAACACTTACACTTTGCAGTCCTGTTACAGTAAGAATATTGTTGCCACAAAATTTTAAGTAGCTGATAAGAACCATAGTGTGATAAAATTGAAACAAATTTGACTTATTCCTAGGCCAGACATCATTCAATAAAAGCATTAAAATGTATAAAATACCAAATATGAATTAGCATTTGTAAATCTCTGCAGACAACCCTTTTACAAACCTTGTTATACATACAAGAAAGTAATATTAGAAAAATTAACTAAGTCTTTGAGTATGAGTACTATATACATCAAATGTGGGTTTATATGTACACACTTTCCTGCACAGAGGAGAAGTGCATCTCTGTGATTCTGAACAAATTAAATTCCTATTTTCTTCACCCAGAGAAAATATATGGAACTGGATTCTTGAAAAGAGTCATCAAATTAGGGATAATAGCAAATGTTATATTATCCTGAAATAGTACACTGAGAATATTACCATTCTAATAAGGAATAATACATAGCAGATTACCAAGCAGTTTTTCTGTGTCAACCAGAGGCAGGCCTCATGAGTGATAGAAACAACATATCTAACCTGAACTCCTGTAAACAGCATGAAATTTGTGTTTTTCTTTTGATTTGGTTCAGTGGCTGCTAGTAACAAATGTAATCAGTGCCAAATGGAACACAGGTTTCCTTGGATGAGACAAATACCATTTAATTGTGCACATCTATGATCTGGAGTAAAAAGGTAATTTTAAAAAATGTATTGAAGTTAAGGGAGATGCTGTCATACCCCAGCCTTCATCAGCACAAGAGGTCTTTAAGAAACCATACTTTGCGTTTTGAGTGCACTGTGTCCCCTGAGAACACAGGCACCTGCTGAAGCTCAGCCCTCCCTTATCTCCAGAAGACGAGGGTGTCCCAGGGACCCAGGAGTATCTGCCAAGGCCTTGGCGACCAGTGCAAGGTGGGGTATTGGGGAAAAGGGGCATGAGCCAAAGCACTAGCAAGGCTGCCCTTCCTGGAGTCATTGCACTGACAGCCCTGATCTCCATCTTGCATGTAAAAGACTGTTAAATGTTGGAGGCGTGCTGGTTATCTTCTATGAATTCATTCTCCCAGTGAACCAGCAAAGAGTATCTGACCATGTCTTATTTTCTTCAGAGACTCAAGTACCATTGGTACCATCAGTTCACAATATCTAGTTTGGCTTTTTTTTTTTTTCAACTCGAAGAGGGGAAAAAAATCATACCTGAACTTTAACAACACAAGCTACACTGGGCCCAATTCATATTAATAAAACAGCTTTGATTTCTTGCAAAGCAATTTAACTGTATATGCAGCCTGCATAAGTAGACACAGTGACAGCATTGACAGCATTCTCACAGCCCGAGAACGGTAATTACAGTTGTTATATCTGGAACTTATAATGAATTGTATAATAAGGCACATTTTTCAGTTTCTTACTAATTGGCCTCTATTAAGAATGCTATCTAAAGTAGAAATTACCATCAAATTACCAATCAAATTACTTTTAATGATTAGAGATTTAGTTTAAAACTCTCTTTTGGCCTTAAGTACCCATTTATCTCAGAGGCCTTTGTGAGGACTTAATCTGTCTTCTCTCTCTCACTCTTGGGCTGCCTCCGGCCCAGCTGGCACACGTGCTGTGTACACAAGATCTACCCTGTGTACACAGCGGCAGCTGTCAACAGGGCCTACTCCAGATGGGCGGGCCCCGGGGAATCTTCAGCGGTGAAGTAGCTAGAACAGGATGTTCTTGCATTAAAACAGAGAAGAAAGGATTCAGCATCCGGCAGTAATATTTATTTTCATGAGTTTAGAGTAACCACCTGATTTATAAATAGTTAATTGAGGCAGAGGCCTAAAGAGAGTTGTGGGCATTTACACCACATTAGGTCAATCAAAACTACTCATTGGATATCATAATTGTGCCTCTTAAATGAAATATTCAAGAAAGAAATGCTTGATGTTAGTATGTTTAGTTTCCTTTGGTGCTAGAACCAAATTCTTCTACAACACTCTAGAAATTGTCACAAAACAGGAGAGAGCCGTTTTTGTTTTGTTGCTCATTGAATCTTATAGAACTCACAGCTTTTAGAAATAAATCATCAAATGGATAAACAAGATAGGAACCTATTTAAAACAGTGTTTTGACAATAAATCATTATTCGAAACTTTTCTTTCGTTTTGGTCTGCGACATAGCATCGGAAGTTTAGCACATCATATGAGATATCTTGGGTTCATTGAACAGAGGAAGCTACAGAATCATTTCTCTGGCAGCGCCTGTGAACTTTCTCACTTATTCCTTGCTTTACTTTTATTACACATATGGAGTTGAAAGTCATTTGGTTTTCCTGAGTAGCTTTTGCATACAACTTGGTTCTTTTTAATGTATCTTTGTTTTTGAAATATATGTAAAAAATATTTTATTAAATCAAGATACAGAAAATAGTTCTTAATCCAGTAATAAAAGTAGTGAGTTAGATGTCAGTACTTGGGAAGATCACTCAACCTTTACAATGTGAAGATGCTATACCACTTACCAAGTAAATATCAGAAATTTTTAAATACTTATTATTCTGTCTTATGACAAGAAAAAACACCATAGCTTCAGCTACCATATATTTATCTTGAATGCTTTTCTAATTATGTCTTTTTGGATTATTGGCTCCTGAGGCCACTGGCCAGCTACTTTACATACAGTAAAATCCTGATTATCCTTTCTGTTTTGGGTCAGTGGCCTAAATTGAAGATTTTACTAACTCAAGGTTAACCATAAACCTGTATATTTAATGTCCAAAGTGAAATATTTATAATGTATATTAACATGTTTTCCTACCTTGACAAGTTCAGCAATATTGAATGTAATTTGGTCTTGGATAATGTTTTAATCTTCAGAATCATCCAATACTCATTATTTTGGATAACGGTATAGTTTAAACGTCAACATTCAAAAAGTTGGACTGAGTTTACATGTGCAACATATAACCTAGAGGTTGGATTTTGAAACCACATTCTGAACAGGAGCTGGATGTTTCAAATTAGAAGGAAGAGAAAAAATGGCATTTGGTGTATCCCAGATTATTGAGGTTTTACCATCCTCAGCTTATTCTAATGTTATTCCTTTCATTTTAGGGAATCCCCATCATTCTGGGAATAGCTGTATATATCACACAAAAAATAAAAAATATTGTGACTTGAAATTTTGTTTACAGAGGATATACACAAGTATACTGTTAGATAAATTGTCTGGCTTTTGCTGTATTCACTCTTACTGTTTTGCTGCCAAAATGTGAAAAGCTATTGTCATCTTTTCCTCCTATTTTGCAAGTGTTAAAAAAAAAAGTGTCTACTTCTGCTACCACATAGTTCCCCATGTCCCTTGTCTACTTTTTTCTTAATGCGTATAAGGAAAAATGATACATTAGGATAAGGTTTGCATATACGTGTGTGTGTTTTTATTGAAAACCGGGCACTTTGTAGCCTTGTATAGACCTCTCCCTGCCTGATTTACTACTTATCTACAGTGCTGCCATGGAGATGAGGCTGTGTACTCTCCCTTGCTTTGTCCTGCGTGGTGTTTGAGAAATGAAGCCTGTGAATTTCCCTCTGTGATAAGAGCACAGTGGACTCGGAGCCTACCGCCTCGTCCCCACCCTGGGTTTGTGTACACAGTGAATCAGAAGTCTTGTCCACATCCGCTGCAGTGTTTGCCATTTCACATTTATATCTGGGCATTTTGTTTTCTGTGGTGAGCAGTGTTCCTTGTTGTACGTGACCCTTTTTGTTGACTTCAAATGCAGGTCAGCTGCTGCCGCCTGGCAGCAATTTGCCGAATCTCTCATCCATCCTTGTAACTATATCCTTCTTAATGAAATTCGGCAACTGGCTAAGTAATTATAAATGTCATCTGTGCAGACACATGTGGTTAAGAATGACTGCACAATTTTGGACTTTTTTTTGCAAAAGGAGAAAAACAGTCTTATAAACGCTGAAACATATTTCCATGAACTTTATGCTACTGTCAGAAAAAAATAATTCTCCTTGGCTACAGAAATCAGATAGATTTGGTTTAGCAACAACCAAAGGCATAAATGAAGATGAACTGAGGTGGAAAAATTTTGTTTCATAAGTAATCAGTGGCATCTGCCAGAGGTCATTACAGCTACTTTAACTGTGAACACTCACCAGCTCAACTACTCACTTGCCACGACCAAATAACCTCTCTCAAAGTAAATCCAGTACATCTGTATATATGTGTAGATGCAAACAAAGTCCTGAAGCATTACTTTTGGCTGTTAGAAAAATCAAGGTGATGATAATTATAAAGGACTTTGAAATAACCGTGGGACTTGGTGGAATGACTTTGGGGGCCCGAATGGTGCAACAAGATGTTACTTACAAGTTTTTTAAAACCCAGATATCTCAGATATTAATCATGAGAATAAAGACTGTTGAATATGAAATTAAAGCCAAGCAATAATGTGCCAAAACGAGGCCGCTATACCAGCAAGTGCATCTATTATGGGCACACCATTATATAACTGTGGTTTGCTCTGTGAAGACTCACTATAACTCCTAAGATAAAATAAATGAAGGCATAATTTTCTGTTTTCGTGTTGGAAAAAAAGTTTGTTCAGGAGCTTCATACGGAGAAGCAGTACTGGTGAGCATGACTAGAGACACAGGTAGCATCTCTGCGTTCATGCTAGCCAGGAAAGAAGGGAAGCCACTAGAAGTTTTGCTGTCTTAGAGCTCAAGAAAGCTCCATCAGAAATTTTGTGGGATGAAGGGGTTAAACTTACAGTAATTACT